CCCTCCCCCAGCTCAGCGTGTGTCCCTGAGTAAGTCCCCTTGCCTTTCCCGTCCCCAGAGGGCTCGTATGTGCTTCAGAGGGTGGCTTCTGAGCTCTGCCCCAGCTCCTGGCAGATGGGATTCCCCAGAGGGGTGCGTGGCAGGGGCCTGGGTCAGGAGAGCTGGTCAGGCCTGGCGTCCTTCCCAGCCAGGCGGGTGGTGGCCCCTGCGGAGCTGTCGGCGATTACTGTCTGTTTCATGCTGAAGTTTATGAGAAGAGGCCAAGCCTTTCTGGGAGAAGGCAGGGGGAGTGTGGGGGTGTAGAGAAGCCTTTGTTCTGTTAGAAATTCCTTCTCTCTTTGGCCCTGCCCTCATTTGTAAGCATAAACAGTGCCGGGACTGAGCCCTTCCAGGAAGTGGCTCCTCACTGCTGAGACTGCCACTGGCCTGTCTTCCCTCTGTGCCCTGCCTCTGCACCCCTGCCCTGCAAGCCTAACCCTGGACTGGGCTGTGCAGGAGGCCCTAGGACTTTTCTCATATAATTCCTGCCGGGGGCTCTCTCTCCCGAAGCAGGGGCCTCAGCCTCACGGTGGGGACATGCTTGGGGGTGACAGACGGAAAGAGTGAGCCCCAAGTGTGCCCTTGTGGAGGAGCCGGCTGGGCCTAGCCCCCTGTCCCTCACATACTGGAAGCTCTTTGGCAAGTCCTGCTCCTTCCCTGTGCCTCAATTTCACCATCTGTTAAATGGGTTGGTGATGTTCCCTGCCAGCAGCATCCCCAGAGCTTTGCAGCTTGATCCTTCCTTGAGAATTCCAGAAGGTGAAGACGCTTAGTGCCTTGTTTTGCTTGCCACCCCCACCCCCAACCCAGGGATAGAGAGCCCACCCTCTACCCAGGCCTCCTTCCCATCTCTGGAACCTTCCTCTTATGATATGCCTGCTGGTCTCAGCCCCGGCCTCTGCACTGCCTTGAACACCTCTGCTCCCTCTGCCTTCGCAGGCCTGGGGACAGGATCGTGCGGAAGTGTGTGCAGCTAAAGGTTACTGAGCACGTGCGCTGTGCCAGTCACTGAGCTAAGGCCTTTATACGCGAGAGTGCATCAGATCCTTCCAACAGCTTAGGAGCCCGGCCCTTTGTCATCATCCTTGTGTCCAGATGAGGAAACTGAGGCACAGAGCGGATGAGCAGCTTCCCGCCCCACCCCCACGCCACTCACAGTCACAGGCAGAGCCAGATGTGACTGCAGGCATCGGCCCTGGAGTCCGCAGTCTGGCCGCGCCCCATGCACCGTGGTGTCAGAGCTGGGCTCCCCCAGCGCCGGCGCGACGCAGCCGTGGGAACCATGTGCTGAGGACGTCTCGTCCCGCAGGAGGCTGGAAGCCCTGTCCCCGGGCCCTGCCAAGCAGCTCACACGCCCTGACGGACAGCTCCAGACGGCTGCTTTTCTAATTACACGGTGCAGCCGCGCGTCCTGGCTCAGCCCTCGCTCTTCTCTCTCATCTTCCTGTTTCTCCCCTGGGCCTGCGCTCGGTGTCTCCTTTATCCCTGTGGTTTTCCTTCCCCCTTGTTTCCGAAGCAGCGACTCTTTGGGACCTGAATTCTCAGAGCCCATCTCCAGTCCGGCCCCAGCCCCCACACCTCTCTCTGACAAGTGTCCTGGGGTGACAGCACCCCTCCCCTCTGACACCTTGACCCCTGCCCTTTGCCCTGGCTGTGTGAGGCCGGCCGCCAGGTCCTGTCGGCTCTCTGAGCCAAGAGGCTTGCAGAGCGACACACCAGAGTGGGCCTGGCTGGTCCAGGTCCCCATATCCCCCACTTCAATCAAGGCGTCTCAGGTCCCACCACTGAGGAGGCCCCCGCGCCTACTCCCTTGTCCCCTCTTCCCATGTGGATGCTTCTAAGAACGGAGACGTGGGGGAATGAGTTGAACTGGTGCTTTACTTCAGGAAGATTGAGGAAGGGAGGCTGTGGTGGCCATGGCTGCTTGGAAGCCGTGGGCACCAGCTGGAGGTGACGGTGGCACCAGAAGGGGTCGTAGGGACACCCACTCGCTTGAGACCGACAGAGCTCAATGTGCCTTCAGAGGCACAAGCTGACCCCTCTACTGTGGATTGGCTGGACCCCAGGCTGTGACTGCAGGCCAAGTGGCCCCTGCTGTGACGGACCTGTCCCTCGAAGCTGCCCTGCCTGCGGCCCAGGCTGAGCTTTCTCCCTGGGAGATGGCAGCGGCCAGGACGGCTAATCAGGATCCGATAGGCCTTGGGCAGTGGGCCCAAGAGATCGGGGCGGTGTTGTTGTCGCATTCTAAGTTTAGATTTACACACTCAGCACGTATGTCCCTTCTTAGCGTTTTGCCTGAAATCCTAGTAGGCTGTCACCAAGTGGTAGTAATGGCTCCTGGGAAAAAGAGACCTGATTATTAAGGAAGAAGTTATTATTTTATATACCACTGTTGTTCTATGTTAATAAATAATACGAGTACTAGTACTCCTGTTTTGCCTTCTGTGTGCCAGGCAGTGTTCTGATGTATTATCTCATCTAATCCTCAGAACAGTCTTAGATGGTAGTTACTGTCATTATCCTTGTGAAGTAACTTGCCCAAGATCACAGAGGATTTGGATCCAGAGTCTGTGCTCTTAACTCTTACGCACTACTTCATAAATGGGCAATTATCCAGGGAAACGTTACCATGGAAACAGGTCATCTCATAGCTCAGTGCTTCTTTTTTTTTTTGAGACAGAGTCTCATTCTGTCACCCTGGCTAGAGTGCAGTGGTATCATCATAGCTCACTGCAACCTCAAACTGCTGGGCTCAAGCGATCCTCCTGCCTCAGCCTCTGAGTAACTGGGACTACAGGCCTGCACCACCACGCCTGGCTAATTTTTTTGTACTTTTTGTAGAGATGGGGTCTCGCTCTCACTCAGATTGGTCTCGAACTTTTGGCCTCAAATGATTCTCCTGCCTCAGCCTCCCAGAGTGCTAGCATTGCAGGCATGAGCCATGGTGCCCGGCCAGCCCCGTGCTTCTTAAACTTAGTGGCATAGGAATTCCCTGGGACTTGTGTTAAAATGCAGATTGTGGTTCAGTAGCTCTAGGGTGGGGCTTGACGTCCGACATTTCTAGCAAGCTCCAGATGATGCTGTCCGTCCTGGTCTGGGATCCACACTTTAAATAGTCACCGTGGAGAGCCTGTGTTTAAGCCTGTGTCAAACTCAAAGCCTTCGAGGGCCGTATAGGTGACATAAATGCATAGAGCAGCTGGTGGGAACAGAGGTGACCTGGAGGGTGTGTGTGCTGTCACTGATGGGTCAGCCACTCCTCAACCCTCAGCCAGCGGGAATTCTGGTCCAGGGTGATTCTGTTCTCCATTTCCCATTTTCAAATATCAGGGCAACTCATCCAACGTTTAAAACTCTCTGCACCTTGTACATGAAGTTCATAGCAGCTTTATTCATAACAGCTAAAAATTAGAAACAAGCCAAATGTCTATCATCTGATGAATGGGTAAATAAAACATGGCACGTCCATACAGTGGAATACTATTTTGGCAATAAAAAGGAATGACGTGCCGACACACGCTATCACATGAATGAACTTGAAAACATTGCCCTGAGTAAAGGATGCCAGACACAAAGGGACAAATATTGAATGTTTCTACTTATGGAAATATCTAGAATAGGGGAATCCATAGAGACAGAAAGTAGATTAATGGTAGCTAAGAACTGGGTGGGGTGAGGAGGTGGGGGTAGGATGGGGAGTGATTCTTAATGGGCACAGGGCTACTTTTTGGGGGTGACAAAAGTATTCTAAAATTAGATTGTGATGATGGTTGTATAACTCTGTGAATATACTAAAAACCACTGAATTGTCCACTTAATGGGTGAAATGTAGGATATATGAATCATATCTCAATAAAGCTGTTTAAAAAAACAGCAAGAGACAGTGAATTTCTTCAATATGCAAAGTACAGTTACAAATCAAAAAGAAAAATATCAAACCCCTCAGGAAAAAAGGATTATAAAGGATATGAACAAACCATTCACAAAGAAGACATAAATGGTTCTCAAATGCATGGAAAATTTTCTCTTGCTCATAATAAAAGACACACAAGTCAAAGCTACTCTGAGAAGATTTTCTACCTTTTAGATTGGCAATAATGAAATCTCTGTTGATGAGTGTATGGAATGTTAAGTTGGTATACCTGCAGTATGTGGGGGTGGGGCTGTGGCAATTTGATATTATCTTTAAAAATTAATGATGCACAAAAACCGGAAGATGCAGATGCAGATGTATAATCTGTTTCTATTTGCATAAGGGGAAAGAAAGAATGTATGTACAAATGTATATGTTTCATACATGTGTAAATGCGGAGCCCACCTTTGGGGTAGTATGAAGGAAATAGATTGCCTACTGGTAGGGGAGTTGATAGCTGGGTATGGGGGAGATTCATTTTCATTGCACACCAGTTTCTGTGCTTGTGCTGCCTCTTCAATAACCATTTAAACCACACTGCTGCGTGGGCCAAAGAGCACCTGTGTGCAGGTCCAGGGCACTGCCAACTGCCCCTTTGTAACATCTGAGTTAAAGAAGTAACTCCTAGCTGAGTGCAGTGGTTTGGTGGTTCATGCCTGTAATCCAAGTAGGCTTACTTGGGAGGCTGCGGTGGAAGGATCACTTGAGATCAGGAGTTTGAGACCAGACTGGACAACATAGCAAGACCCCATCTCTACCAAAAAAAAAAAATGGAAATAACTCCAAGCCACCATTGAGTACTTCACTCCTTGAATCTAAAAGAGATGAATGCCACCCACCACCTCCTCTGTTCTCAGTCCCCCGTGCAGGTCTCCTAGCCTTGGGATTCCTGTGTATACTCTGGGGGTGACCCTGGACTGGGGATAAAAGGTGCCTGTACACAGAGACACAGGACATGAGGACTGGAGGCAGAGAGCAAGGGGACTCCATGGGGGCATCATGTTGGCCTCTAGACCCCAGTCTTCTGTGCTTGCTTCCTGTCCTCCAGGCACGCCCCAAAGGCGAGGGTCTGACGCCGTACCAGGGCAAGAAGCGCTGCTTTGGCGAGTACAAGTGTCCCAAGTGCAAGAGAAAATGGATGAGCGGGAACTCGTGGGCCAACATGGGGCAGGAGTGCATCAAATGCCACATCAACGTGTACCCGCACAAACAGGTGAGCCGGGGGGGGCCCTTCTCTGATGGACTGCAGGAGGTTGGCTGTTCCCTTGTTGGGCCTCAGTGTACCCCTCATACGATAAGCATGAGGCCAGAGCTCTCCAAGTTGGCCTTTCTCCCCCTGTCTCATCTGAAATGGGGGAGAGGGAGAGAGCCCATCTCCCCAGGAAGGGAGGGAGGGTGAAGGGGCGACTACACCCAGGGCCTGAGACCGGGGGCCCAGGGGGATTTTTAAACTAATGTGGAGGGGTGGGGTGCCTGTTGTGAGACAAACAAGGACATGATGGCAGCAGGAAGCTGCAGAAAGCGTGCATTTCATTCCTTTACCCGTCTAGCCGGCACATGTACGGGGGTTGGGGGGGGCCATGCACCAGGCGCAGTACACACGGACAGGGCAGAGACACCTGGTCCTAGGGAGGGCCCACCTGAGGCAGGCTGCAGAGAAAGCCACTCAGAGCGGCTGACATGGACTCAGGGACCTGGGCGGGTGGGGAGCTAGGCACCCCCATCACAAGTGGGGGGCCAGCCATCCCAGGAAGAGGGCACAGCAGTGCAAATCCCCCGAGGCTGTAAGGACTTGGGGTGCTGAAGGCCCACTGCCCAGTGAGGGAGCAGGAGAGTGGTGCAGAGGAATGAGGCGGGGAGCTGCACGGGCGATCGCCAGAGCCTTGGGGGCCACTCGAGGGGCCAAGGAGCAGCGGGACTTTCAGCCTCATCTTTGTTCCTCTGTGGTGTGGAGAGATGAGTCTGGGCATGAGGGGCCGAGACTGAAAGTGGGAAGACAAGTGGGAGAGCCGTTAGCATAGTCCCCATGCGAGCTGGGAGAGGGCTAACTCGGGAGGCGGCTCTGGAGCTAGATCCAACACCATGTGCCACCAGATTGGTGGTGGAAGGCGAGGGAAGGGCAGGGATCTGGGAGAACAGTCCCCCTGCAGGCTGAAGCACCTGAGTGGGTAGAAGCGGTTGTTCCTGAGCTGGGCAGCCTGGACTGCAGGCGTGGCGGATGGGACACAGGCATTGGAGATAGAAGTCTCGGATACACACGTTACGTGTGAGATGCTAGTAAAAATCCAATCAGAGATGTCAAGAAGGCAGTGGACGTGTTATTCTGAAGCTCATATGAGAAGGCAGGGTGTGCACACACAATTGAGTACCATTGACCTAAAGGTATTTAGGGAATGCACGTGATTTCCTGCCGAAAGAATGTGGATGAAGAAGGATTCCCCAGACTAAGCGTTCAGTGGCCGTTAGAGGAGACGCAGGGAGTGTGGGGTCCCGGAAGTCGGGGCGGCGTGGGGAGCGCCGTATGAGCATTGGTTGGTGGTTGGTGCTAAGACGTTAGGTATGATGACCACAGAGACGTGCCCTGGAGATTTAGCAACAAAGAGGTGGTCCTCAGACTTTGGGGAGCATCACTTTTACCCGAGGAACTTGCTGAACTACAGCAAGGTTTGAGAAGCACGGAAGCTGGTGCCCGGCAGCTCAGGCCGGAGTGGAGACGTCCATTGACGGCTGACCTGTCGGCCGGGGCGGCGTCTGTGGCGCAGTGACGGGACCCTTGTTTGGATCCGGTGCAGAGGGAATGCCTCACTGTCCGCTCTCTTGAGGGCGTTTGAGTGCGGACAGGATCACAGCAGCGGCTGGCGCAGGGCAGGAGGCCTTGGGCCGCGTGCTGTGAAGACGGCAGAGCCCGGAGCACAGTGCAGGCTGGTGAGAATGGCCCGGAAGGAAGCAGGAGGCTCATGTGCGAGGACAAAAGGGGCGATGCCTTCCCATGGGCACAGGAGGGATAATCAGGGAGGTTTGTGGGTTTGATGGTGCAGAGAAGAACTTCGTATCCAGGGCTTCTGCTTTCTCGGTGAAATGGGAGGCAAAGTTCTCAGGTAGAGAAATGAGCTTGAGGAAGGGTCCGCGAGGAAGCAGACCACGAGCGAGGCTGCACCGGGCTGCACGCACGTGCCAAGCCTGGGAGGTTTGTGACCCTAATGCCATCGAAGACGTCAGCCCAGTGCTGTGACTTTCCCCAGCGCTGCTCGCTGGGCAGGTGCGGGCCACACCCGGTGAACAGGAGGGTCCGTGGGGCAGAGGTTTGCCAGGAGAGTGTTCCAGAGGGAAGGTGGGGGGAGTGGGCATATCTGTAGAAGTGTGAGGATTGTGCGCGTCACCCTGGGGTGTCAGCTTGATGGCCGGGAAGGTCAGCCAGGGGGGCCCCGGATAGAGAGGGGGGATGTGCCGGGGAGGGTGGGCTGGAAGGAGAGGAGGTGGGGGCAGAGCTGGGTGGTGTCTGAAGAAGACCAAGTTCAGGGTGCGGCTGAGCAGGTGGTCACTGCCGACGAGGTAGTCAGGGAACTGAGGAGCCGGGGTGGGGGGACTTCGGGGGGTGTGCTGGGTCCCTGAGAAGTAGCGGGAGCAGCAGGGAGAGAGGAGACGGGAGGGAATGGGGGGAGGGGCTTTGGGAGCTACTGCGAAGGGCTCCCTGGGGAAGCGATGTGAGGCTGGGCTCTGGTGGGGGAGGGACACCAAGCAGGAAAGGGGCTGCCGTGGGGTGGCAGGGGAGCGTGCCCCTCTAGTGGGGAGGAGAGCAGCAGTGCAAAGTGAGGAGGGCAGCCCCCTGGGGACAGTGTCCATGGAGCTGTGTGGGGGCAGGGTGTGGAGGGAGAGGCCCGGCTCCCTCTGGCTGGCTGGGAAGCGGAGCTCAGAATTTGGTCTTTATCCTGCTGGGGTGACTGGGAGGGTTCATTCGTCCTCTTGCTGGACAGACTTCCTTGAGGGCTCCTCTCTGGCCAGGCCCATGCAGGCCCTGATGGAGGGTGCAGGTCCCGGGCTGCCAGGCATTCGGGAGCTTCCTCCCATCCTGAAGAGACAGGGTCAACAAAAAAGGGCAACAACTGGCAACCCGAAAAAACCCGGCCCGCCAAAAAGGGGAACAACCGCCCGGGGCCCTTGCCGAACCCCCCGCCAAAACCCCCGGGGGTCCCCCCCCAAAACCGGGCGGTCCTAACCCAACTCACAGGTAGGGAAATCACAGCCCCAACAAGCCACACGGTGTTCCCCAGGTCCCCAGGTGAGACTTGGGACCTCTGAGTTGAACTTGCACCTGTGTTTGGAGAGAGTCTGCAGGACTGCTGGGAGCCTGGGTTTGTGTCCCAGCCCCGCCACCTGTGACCTGGGCGCTGCAGCAATGTGCTCTGCTCGGCCGTGCTCCCAGGCACTCCTCTAAGGCTTTGTACCCGTCACCCTCTCAGCCACCCCATGAGGTCAGCTCTATTGTTTCCCCATTTTTCAGAGGAGGAAACTGAGGCACGGGGGTGTAAGTGATTTACTCCAGGTCAGTAGAGAAACTGGATTCATGAAGAGTGACTGAGTTTGGGGCTGGAGGGTAGTGTGGAACCGGAAGGGGGCAGATGAGTGGCCAGGGAGGAAGGAGGGCAGGAGGGAGGACAGACCACAGTGGCTGGCAGGGGAGAGGAGTTGGGAATAGCTCGATTTCTGCAGCGCCTCAGACATCTGGGGGCTCCGTGGGTCTGTGCTGACAGTCTTGGGGGCTCAGTTCTTAGGACTCTCGCTCCCTCTGTGACCTAAGCAGAGAAGCAGGTCCAATCCATGCACCCAAGGCCTGTGGCACTGACTCCCTACAGTGGCTCCAGCCTCCTGGGCCTCTGCCCCCATATTGTCCTAGCATCTGGCAGGGCAGGGCTCCTCACCATGTCCCTCCCACGAAGCCAGGACCATTCCCGGCTTGTACCGACATCCCTAGGCTGGCAGTGGCTGCACCTGCCCCGTCGTCTCCATCCTGCCAAGCTCAGTCCCACCCCATCCCCCATCCCTGTACTCAGGATTGGGGTCTCTAAGGACCCAACTAAAGGATCTTTCCAGAGCATCTGGTTCTGCTCTTCTCCTCTCCCAGTTGTTCAGCTGATGTTTATTGAGCACCTACTACGTGCATCGGGGACACTGAGGCCCCTAGGGGACGTGGGACTTGAGCAGGTGACTCAGCCAGCCTGCATCAAGGGGTCCTGTGACCCAGGTCTCTCACCACCCAGTCTCCTCTCCTGGGCTTGCAAGCTGGGGAGGAGGCGTGGGGTGGTGCCCGAGTAGTCAGGAGCCTTTGGAGATCTGAGAGGGGGTGCTGCTGAGCCCCTCCCCTTGGCGCCCCGCGATGGAGAGGGGCTGGTTTATTTCTCCTGCCCCCGAGCTCTGACCTGCACAGCGTCCTTCTCCTGAGAACCCTCCGCTTCCCCGCTGCTCCCGCCCCTGCCACATCTGTTTCCTGTCAGGCTCCAGCTGCGCCTCCCCCCTGCCAGCCCCGTCCCCCAGGAGAAGAAAACGCTAATGGGCTTTGCCTTGCTGCAGGGGGTGGGGGCGGCCCTCGGTGGCAATCAGTCCCAGCTGCTGTGTGTTTTCCCTCCGTGACAGCTCCCCGAGCTCCCCACCCGGGGCAGGCTGAGCAGGGCTGAGCGGTGGGGCCAGGACCCACGGGGAAGTCCAGGAGGGTCATGGAAGAGGAGGGGGCCTGGTGAGAACGTGGCAAGAGTGTTTCCACAGGGACTCGGCTGGTTCCCCTGCCCGCAGCCTGCCCCTAACCCTACATAATAATAGCAACAATTCATATTAGTGCCGGCCAACACTTCGAGTGCTCTCTATGTACCAGGCACTATTCTAATCACTTGTATACATTAACTTTTCACTCTTTACAGCAACCGTGTCAAGTAGGTACTCTTATTAGTCCCATTTTACGAAGGAGAAAATTGAGGCACAGAGAGGTTAAGTGACTTGCTAAGGGTCACACTGCAATTGCTAAATCTTACAGAGCTCTTTGGGCTATAAAGTGCTTTAAGACAGTTATCTCGTTTACTTCTCTCTCTACCACACATACAAAAACAAAAAAACTAGGAAAAAGAGAATATTAGGCCAGGCGCAGTGGCTCACGCCTGTACTCCTAGCACTCTGGAAGGTGGAGGAGGGAAGATCACTTGAGCTCAGGAGTTCGACACCAGCCTGAGCAAGAGTGAGACCCTGTCTCTACTAAAAATAGAAAAATCAGCCAGGCATCGTGGCGCACACCTGTTGTCCCAGCTATTCAGGAGGTTGAGGCAGGAGGATCGCTTGAACCCAAGAGTTGGAGGTTGCAGTGAGCTATGATGATGCCACTGCACTCTAGCCCCGGCGACAGAGCAGGACTCTGTCTAAAAAAAAAAGGATAGTGAATATTAACCTCCCACCCAGGTTACAGAAGGGCAAATTGAGGTTCTAGAGGAGAAAGATCTTGCTCAACAGACTTCGGCTGATCGGTGGCAGAGCTGGCGTGCGAAGCTCTGTCTGTCTGCGGTAATACCCTGTCCTATGGAGACATTGCAGAAGACACCAGCGGAAGAGTTTTCCAGAATAGTCTTCAGGACACACTGTATATGATCCCCAAAGGCTCCCTGGAGGCTCTGCCCTCAGCCCTGCCTGGAAGACAGACGCCCCATCAGGGTGGGAGCGGCTGAGCAGGCGCTAGCGGACTCCTCCCAGGGGAGAGAGGTGGGCTTGTGAGAAAAGCACCCCTCCCCCAACACGGAAAGCCAGGGACCGGGACAGGCTGGGAGGGAGCGCGTGCAATCTGGGGTGGGCACTGGCCCTAAGGGGCCCTAGTCTCAGTACCAGGCAGCCAGTGGGGCCAGCTGCTAGGCAGCAGGGAGTGTGCCCCACAGCGTGGGGATTGGGGACAGCAGGTGTGGCCAGGACGCCACACACCCACCACCTCCTGGCTGCGGGCCCTGGGACAAGACCCTTAATGTCTGGGAGCCTCAGTTTCCTGTCTGTACGGTGGATAGTGATATGCCACTCACAGGGAGGTCACGAGGTGAGGTGGCCTGACTTAGGTGGCAGTGCTTTGCCACGCAAAGTATAGGCCCTGGGAAGTGAGCGGTGTCGAGCCTTCTTACTCTGGCTTCTCCAGCCCCTCCCGGAAGGCTGGGTTCAGCAGGGGCCAGGCCAGCAGGGCCATGAGGGAGCGGCAGGGGGCTGGAAACCAGCTTGGGTTTGGTCTGGTGGAGGGGAGACTTCAGGACCACACTGTTAAGACCATCCTTCAGGAGCCAAGCAAAGTCTGTGTGGCACCCGTGTGGCCCCCGTGTGGCTGGGATCTCTCAGATGAGGGTGCAGGGACCCAGATTCTATCTCTAGTGGGGGAGCCTTCTTACAGTGCAAACAGTGAACTGAGCTCCCCAGCCCCAGGGGCATGCAAGCCCAGGGTGGAGGGAGGCTGCTGCAGGTCTCCACGGCATGTCTGGGAGAGCAGGGCTGTGACCTCCCTAGGCCCTTTCACCTTGGGATCCTGGCTGCAATTTTGAGTGACCTCTCCCAGCAGGTGACCCCTCCCATTAGTGAGAATAAACAATATTCTCAGCTTCTGTAGGCCGTGCCCTGTGCGCTCTCGCCACTGAGTTGTCTGCTAAGAACAACCCCACAAGGAAACTGATACCGGCATCCACTTCTGCAGAAGGATCAGAGGGGGCAGGTGGCTGCTCACAGTCACACAGCTCATGGGTAGCAGAGCCCAGGTCTGGCAGGAAGTCACTTTCCCTCTCCTGGCCAGGATAAAGGCCAGACGTGGGGGGCTGGTCATCTGAAAGCCCCCGAGGTGCCTGCCCTTGGTCACCTGTCCACAAAGGACAAGCCAGGCCTTTGCTTTGTGGCTTGAAGGCTGGAAGCACAGGAATGGGTTTTATGACCCCTGGATCAGAACCCTGCCTACCCACAGTCCCCCTCCTTGCCTTCTAGAACCTTCTGACTCTTCCCCAGACTGCTCCGAGTGTCTGCTTGGGGCCAGGACTGCACTCATCCTCAGCAGTCCTGGGTTGGGTTCTGCCTCCAGGGCCCCACCCCAGCTGTTGTTCCTGCCGCCCTTTCCTCAGCATGTGGCTCCCAGCTGGCCCCGACCACCTTCCTCTGAGTCCCCCCCCCCTCCAGTCTGTGCAGGGGACCTTCTGCAGGCAGGGACTCCGGTGGGAGAGAAAGCAACGTCTCTGTGAGGCAGCCAAGAAACCGTCTGTGCAGGAGGCGTTCCTCATGGCCGCCATAAATTCTGCAGGGAAACAAGTCTCTGCCGGCTTTCGAGAGCCAGGAAAGGAGGGAAACAGAGAGAGGGAAGCCCCCTGCCCAACAGAAATGTGCTTGTCCTGCCTAACACTGTCCAGGTCACAGACATCCGGACGTCTCTGCGGGGCCTCCAGTACCTTGCGTGTGAGGTGCTATGAATGGCCCACTTTACAGATGTGCAAACCGAGGCTCCCTGAGGCCACACAGTGAGCGAGTGCCATAACAGGCCTGGTGAGTCACCTTCCTTCTCTGGGCCTCGGTTTCCATGTCAGAAAACTGAGGTTCCAGTCATGTAGGCAGGTGCTGGGCTGGCCCCGGGATGTGGGGTCGCTTAAACTCCGCTGCTGACCTCACGGAGCTAGCGGCTCACTCACCCCATGCCGAAGCGCTGCCACTGTGCCCAGGTTAAGCTTCCCTTGAATCCTGAGGCCGCACGAGCAGGCACAAGAGTGACATGTGGCCAGAAGCCCTAGATGCCAGGAGTCAGGGTCTGCCGTGCTCTGGGCCTCAGTGTCCTCGTCTGGACACCCTGTACCCATGTCCTGCCTCTATCCTGGACTTCTGTGAGCTTCAGGCGGTGGCTGCTGCGAGAGTACTGGGGCAGAGGGTTCTGGGCACAGGACTCCCTCCCGTAGCTCTGTCCCCAACCCAGGGCCTCAGCTACCAGGACACAGACGCCTGCACACAGGCCAGAGCAGGAGGGCCTGGGCGCCCCGGCCAAGGCCACCTCTGACCACAAGTGCTCTCCCGCTCCCTCCCTCTCTCTCTG